CTTTGATGCCGTCGCTATCGGCCTGCGCCGGTACAGCGTACTAGTTTAGCAGTGGTTTTGAGCTTTACCAGTAGCCCTGGTACAAAATCCTACGCAGCGAATGGCTCAATACCCACTTTGGATTTACAAGTGTAAACGGTACTCAATAGACTTAACACTATAGTCGAATGAGAACATCCAAGAAGGCCAAAATGTGACCGAAATCAACCTCTTTTATTAAAGTATATGCTTGTCTCTTATGTTTGAGCTGTCACAGCAAATACAAACAATAAAGCACATTAAATTTGGAGTTAATTGCACTGGTGTTGATCCATTCTTATTGGAGTTAACAGAAGCTGTGGACTATTTTACAGCCAGAAAAGGAACTGTGTACTGTTTTACTATCGTTTAGTCTTGGCCTCAGGCACCGGCAACAGTGTAGCCATTGAAAAGTGTTCCCACTACGTTGTAGATAGGAAAAACCTGGTACAATAGAACAGTAGACAGCATAGCCAAAACAGATGGTGCGACATGGTTGCTGTTTCAATAGATGTTCTTTATTCAGCTACATCATCCACAGCCACACACAGTACAATTTCTACACAAAAACTGACTCAACTCATCTCTTGTTGTCGACGCTGACATACCACACAAACTGACTCGATTGTCAACGTTCGATCCACTTGTTGTTGTTGTTGTTCGGCCGTCGTCGTCATCGTCAACCACTCCACAGCACCATCGTCGGCCGGCAACCACTCGTCAGCCCACAACCACTCATCTCGACAGTCCACAACCACTCATTTTGACGGTCAACACGACGTTCGATCGAACGGCCGTCATCGTCGACGTATGCTCAGCAGAAGCAGCCATCCACTCAGCCAGCCGTTCACTGCTGCGCTTCCAACAACAACACACAACGCCTCCAGAGGCAAGAAGCTAAAAGGACAGAATTGGAGGCATGGGAAGCAGCAGCAACCTAGGCATTAGTATCCGATCTCTTGATTAGCTCTGACAACATCACAATGATGATGTTGTCAGTAATTCATCCAACAACCAATCCAACAGAACGGCAGATCCAACAGAACGGCTGATCACGTCACATGATTCGATTATTTGGATTCGAAGGCACATTTTCATCATCACTGCTATCATCGGAACCATTATCCTTGTTGTTGCTTGTGGCTCTGTTGGACACTGAGGCGGGCCTGTTGTTGAGGGTAGCAGCAGCAGCAGGAGAATTGTTGTTTCGGATTTTCAGAGCATCATTGTGAAGATCAGTCATGGCCATTGCATGCTGCGAGCGGATCTGCTTGCTTGGAAAGCACCAGTCTTGTTTCTTGATTCCACGGATTTCCCAATCCTCTTTCGCCAAGCCAAAGAAAGAAGTGTCATGGTAGCGAACAAAGCAACTGATGGAGTCATCAATGATTGGTGTTTCCTTGTTTTTCTTCTTGTTTTGAGGATCAACACAATGCATGGCTTTGTTGCATTTCTTGCATTCATGAGAGCAGCTCTCTCCACAGACGACACATATTCTGCTTCTGTTGTTGGGAAGCCTTTTGACAGTCTCCATATGTGAGCAAAGGCCATCAAGTCGACCACACAATCTACCCTTTGCGTCAATAAGATCCTGGGCTGTTATCATTGACGCAGTCGAACTGTCAGGAGTCGCCACTCTTTTTCTTTTGGAGTTTGATCTTGGTGGAGATTTTGAGCGAACTCTGAGAGACTGCTTTGTGGCAACTCGAAAGTTCTCATCGCCAGGGTATCCACGATGGATTGGGTTGTATTGACACATTTGCTTTCCAAGCTTCTCTCGAAATCTCCAAAAATCGATTGGCTTTACCTTCCAATCTTCATTCAAGCCACCTTCCGCGCATTCCTGGTACATGTCATAAGCAACAACAATGGCCATCCCTTTTGCATGGAGCATGGCAGCATGCCAATATTTCCACGATCTACCACAAAAGCAAAACAATGAGCGAGTTAATACTGAAACGGCAATCGACAGAGTGTCACCATTGTACATACCGGTAGCAGAGATTGCAGTTCTGTATCATATGATCCAATCTATCCACAGCACCATAAGTTTTTAGATACAGTTCTCGAGCCTCATTCATCTCAATAGCCCACTGTCTTTTGTTAGTAGCTCTTCCACGTTCCTTGGTGTGTGCATAAAGATCACAGCGGTTAAGGGCATTCACTGTAGCAATATTGCATGATGATGTTGACTGGAAGGAACAATGAACGATGGTGGATTCTTGCGTCACATGCTTCGTGACAACAATAGGACGTTCAAATCTAGCCGCCTTGGACTTTGGGTTGACAGCAGTCTTCTCCTTGTGGAAATACATAGAAGGAATACCATGAGGTAATCTGTCACGGCAGCATGTCATTGTCATGCCGAATCCCTTTGCAGCAGCATAGTTCATGACATTATCTCCTGAAAAATGGTTGTCCCAAGTAAGATGAGGCAAATCCGTGAAGATCTTCTGGGGGGTGAAGCAATGTGCCCCCATTTCATAGCCAACTGTCATGGGAAACAGCTTGTCAAGGATGAATCTTGCTTCAAGCTGTCCACCAGTACAGTGCCAGTTCTCAGGACGCTTGTGAAGGTTGTGACGGTGCACATAAGCTCTTGGACGGATTCGGTCAACATCTGTAGCCAAGCGATTTGCCCTCCTTTGTGAATGTGAGGTTTGTTTAAGATGAGGGAAACAAGTCCACTTCCAACTTCTCCCCAGCCACTGAAACCCCAGGACGTCTCGTCTGCAGCCAAATCGAGGCCTGCTTGCTTAGTGACAGCATTGCAATTATGGATCAGGACCTTGTAGATGTAGTCAAATTTGTAAGCCGGATCATAGTCAGGTTCCCCTTTCTTTGCAACTTGAAGGTTGTTACAAAGCTTGTACACCTCTTGATTTCCAACCATCTTGATTTTGTCATCGAACCACTGACAAGAGGACAAAAAGCAGTGTTTCCTTCTCTTTTGTCGAAACGTCTCATCAAGGCTCCATCACTACCTCCATGTACACCATCCATGTAGACCACTCCATCCCATCGAACAAGCTCACCAGGATTTGTGCATTTAAAGTCGTGACCATATCCATTTCCAAGTTCAAGTTCACCATGGCATACAGATTCGACCAACGAGAAACATTGTGGTAAAATCTTTCCTTGGATCAGCAGTAACACCAGACTTGGATGGATCACAAACCGGAAGAAGCAACTGATAAAAGAAGAATGCATCTGGAGCGCCATCTGCTTGCATCATTCTATTTTTATTGAGACCAAGGGCTGCCAACTTCTCTGCATCAAGGCATCCCTTCCTTTCCTTTGGGAACATATTATCTCTGTTAGCTCCATGGCGGTAGGGTGTGAAGTGAGGGTCGTCGGCACCATTCCAGCCAGAATAATGAAACTCAAATCCACCAAATCGTCTCTTGCCAGTTTCTTCATCCACTGGGACAGGTGTGGCTCCAGTTGGAAGCGAATGATATGCATACGTCTTCTTGTCTCTCGCATCTTTGGCCTTTCTGAATTTCGCAGTGAAGACGTATGGAGACCAACCACCCGGATTGTCCACCAACTTGAATTCTTTTGGCTCTCCTTTTTCCGTCTTGGGTTTGGGAGCCTTCCATCCTTCTGGTGGACCCGGTTGTTTCCAGTCTGATGGAGCTCCCTCAATGGAGCGGTTAGCTGTCGAGTTTCCTTGTTCATTGGATTCAAGATAGTCGCTCTCAACAGGAATTGCTGAAATGTTTTCTTCTTGATGCAAGTTTCTGTCATTGGACACCTCTCGAAGAATGGCATTGTTGCCAGGGCCTTCTCCCTCATCCTCGGATTCTGGATCTCCAGCATTCTCGTTGTAACGAGCTCTGTCATACTCTACCTCATACTGTAATGGATCAACTCCAGCATCAGTTGCCGTGGAATGATCTTCATGTCGAGAGGGTGTTGTCATTTCTGAAACTGATTCAGATTGAGGGGATCTACGCATCATAACACTGCGCATTGGAGTCCTCTGGCTACCACCGGATGCACGGCCATTGTTGCTACTATTGGCTGGGTTTCGTCCACTAGGAGGGCCGTCATTTCCACTAGAAGATGGAGATACCATGGCCAAGGATCAACTTTCCAGCGAAATGAAGAAAAATGATCCAATCACGTTCAATCGTTACTGGAAGACCAGTGTGCCAATCGGCTACTTTATTGCTGTCGAACTGACAATGATCAATATTCATGTATGGAGACCAAAATAGAGCTAGCATGCTACCAACACAGCTATTGATAGAGTAAAGGACGTCCTCCAGGCCGCCAGTATGGCTCGACACATGGCTCCATGCATGTGCTAACGTATTTTCTAACTTTATCCTAAATCAGCTACGTTGTAGCCGATCTAGTGTGCGGCCAAGACTAAACGATAGCGAAATGGATGTATTTTTTTCATGGCTCAGGACCACCCTTAAACTAGTACCTTATGATAATACTGTAGCATTATCCTTACTCAGATCAGGGTTATTCCATCCATGCCAAACGAATTTTGTCCAACAGAACGATTTCGAATACCGAATCGAATCGTCGTGACACCAAAATTCTCATCAAGTGCACCGCCATACGACCCGTGTCAACGACTTCCTCTGCATCAGTTCTCGTTCGCATTTTCACCGGGTTTAGCGTCACAAAGCGCGGCTTTCAAGTGACCTCACATTGCACACCACTGTATAGATTTGTACTGATTGATAATGTGATTGGCATAGCAAACCTGTCATTAATTTCCATGATTTAACGCGCCCTTTATTCTCGAGAATCTGTGTCAATTCTCATCCATTCCTGGGAATTTTCACTTCCAGATTGCATTTATACCCCATCATTGGAGTAGGTAATAATAACAGTCAATGGCATAAACTATAGACGTGAATCTGCACACAAGGGAGTTGATGTAAACCTTAGTTTTCCTTATTTAGCTGATGGGCCCTGTGACGCGACTCGTCTGAGGACTCGCATGTTCCCTGGATGGTCTGGGAATTTTCAGGCAGCTGCGGTGTCTTTGGGCAGGGCCATGCTGTGAGAATGGTGCTGCTTCAGTCTGCTGCTGCCCATTTGAAGACTGAAGCACTGGCAACTTTGCAACCACAAACCCATCCATTTTGTTTGCGTCTGGAAGAGGAGTACTTGCTGCTGATTCGGAGGAGGAGCTAGCTAGCTACTAGTAGCATTGTTGGCGGCTTTTGGAGTTTGAAGATTCGCTGATTGACAGTTGACAGTTCGAGCAGTTTGCTTTCTGGCATCACCATAATTTCCAAGTCGCCGAGATTTCCATTCAGTTAGTTTCACCAGCACACAACAACCATGCCTCTGCTTCGAACCTTTCACCGCAGTCACTCTTTGTCGGACGCGGACAAGGCGTACCGACGGGCCGCTCGTGAGCTCCGCGACTTTCATCGAGCTCGATCACTGGATGTCATTCTGGAGGAAGCCCATGACCACGATGACGACCCCAGTCACCACAGTCATCAAGGAATGCTCCAAAAGAAGCGAGCGTGTTTGTGTCTAGCCGATTTGGTCGTTGAGGATGATGTCGATGGCAGCGAACACAGTGCTCCCGAGGAGCACACCAAGGAATCCGGTTCGGGCGGTAACAACACATGGGGCCATTTCACGGCAGATTCTCCGGCTGTCGCAACCGAGCAGGAGCATCATCATCATGACTCGTCTAGCCGCGTGTACCCCGCTTCCATCACATTCAAGGGACGAATCATGCGGCCATTTGGACGGTCTTGAAGAAGAAGAACGAGACTGTCTAGCTAGGAGCAAGCGCAACACCACAGCCACCACAAGCTAGCCAAGACACCGCTATTGCAGATCACCCCACCCCCTGAACGACTACTAGCAACATCACCCCTTCCAAGGAAAGACTGTACCACTACGAAAGGCCCACAATAAAGTATCATAGCACTGGAACACACACATATCAAAAACAAGACACAACAGACAAAACAACAACAACAAGATCATCATAGGACGCAGACACACACGCACTGGCATCTTAATAATACAGACTCGACTCTGGGGATACGAATAGAATAACCATACAAGCCAACGATTTTCCCTACTTTCATCAAGTGTTTGTCCATGCCTTCATAAAAGTCGATCCGTGCCGAAAGTCCAGCTAGCTAGTAGCCTTCATTCATTCGTTCGTACTGGAAACAACTAACACTACATACATGTACTCGGTAGCTACCGGTAGCTGGCTAGCGAGGTCAATCAAACCTTCTCGTTGGACTACGATATGTGAATTGTCCAATAATCTCCTCGTGACCATGTCTGTCCAGAGCCTGTGACAAAAACTGTTGCCACGATGGGACAACTAGAGTCTGATGACTCAACGAGGGAAATATTCAACAGAATCAAATCGTTACTAGTAGAATCATAGTTGCCACTTTTGCAGGCTACTTTGGGATACCTATTATTACCAACCGGGTCCTTGACCTCGCTTTTTGTGACTGCCAGGTTCTTCAGTGAGCCTCTTTATTCACCGAGCCTCCCAACCCAAGACGGATCCGGGCCACTACTGCACAACTTTTGAAAGCTGGTCTGTATACCGCAGTGCAC